TACAAACATTTATTTTAAAAATAATAGATCTTGCGACTTTTATACTGGCCTTACATCTGTCAATGTTTTTCATCAGTTAGTGCAGTATCACCATTAATCAAAAGAGATAAAGTGATATTAAAAAAACATTTACTTCTGTTTTTTGAAATTTAAAAAAATCCTTAACTACTTGGACCAAAGTAAATGTAATGCAGCTAAGATGACTTTTTAATGATGCTAATACTTGGATTATTGACAGCTGATATTGCTGACAGGTTGAATTTATTTTTAGGATTAGTGAATGCAATATTTTCTTCATTGTTAAAAGCTTCTAGCTCACTTTTAAACCACATTGTTTTTGTTCCAAGTAAAGATGTATAATGTATGATTAAGGCTTTAATAATAATTTTTTAATACAAATGAAGTGATTTTAATTAAATCCATTTTTATCAGTCACTTTAAAAATATGATGAGTATTTGTATAAAGATAATTAAAATTTCAAACAATAATATAAGCTTTACTTGTTGTTGTTTTTTAGGTGAATCAATTGCAATTGATGGAATATTTTTAAAATGCTGAGGTAATCAAAATAATTTTTAATTATTCAAGAATTTTAAGGATTAAATTATTTAGCAAAAAAATTGTTTGATAATGAGTTCAATTTAAATTAAAAAAAATAATAATATTAGTTCTCGCACAATTAATATCAGTTCTCTTATCTATTAAAATTTAGAATATTTTCCAACAATTTTGTGACCTCCATAAATATGATGGGGAAAGGTGGAAATATGCTTTAAGAGCACTAATTTATATGGTGTAGTGAAAGGTATACCTTTAAAAGATATGTAAAACTTTTTTATTCTCATTTTTTATATATTCAAAAACTTCTCCTTGTGTGTGTTTTTTTTTTTTTTTTTATTAATTCTTTTTTATTAACAGCTTCTTCTATTAAATACCATGGAGCGACTGAAACTTTAATTGATGGCATTTTGTCTAACTTCTAAAAATGCGCTTCGTATCGAAAAGGTGGCGGAAAAGAAAAAAATTTAGATTGATTGATATAAATTTATATTTATAAAAATCGATCTGAAATTTCTTTATTGAAATATTTACATATATTTCAATAAAGAAATATTTTCTTTTTGTTTGCTAATATTTTTTTTTCAGTGTTAATTCAACATTACAAATTAAAACTCAATTATGAAAAAAGCCTAGAATTGAGTTGATGTTTTAAGTAAAATAAGAAAAGCCCAAAAAGTAACTGATGTAATATTTTTATTTTTTGATAAAAAAAAAAATTCTAATAATGTTTAAAATTGGTTTTAATATTAATCTTTATTAGATGATAAGTAAAAAAATGTTACAAGTTATTTTTTGGTCTTGAAAATTGTTTAAATGATAATTTATTATCTATCAAAATATTTTCTTTTTTAATTTTTGTTGTTTTTATATTTTAATTAAAAGTAGATATTATTGTGTCATATATTATAATATACCTTATATTATACTATTATATTTTATATTAATAATGAGTATTTTTTTTTTTTTTGTATTTCTATTTTTTTTTTTCAATATTCCATAACTATCTTATGTAGATGTTTACGTTTTAGCAACCTAGTATTCTTTCGTTATTTGTCTTTGTTATTGAGCCTTAAGTTATTTGAACATAATATATTCAGAACTCTGCTGAATAATAGAGTTATAAATAAATTAATAAAAATGAGTTTAAAATATAATAAATTTATAAAATGAAGAAAATCTTATCTTTGCTTATAATGTCTACTAATATTATTGTTTAGCAAGTATCATGGTTATAAAATGTTTAAATTTAGCTAGTTTAATTAGGCCTGTTAGTACACTTATATTATGGTTTTTTTATTTTATATTAGTTCATGTAATTTTTTCAAAATCGAATATGCGGAAAGGAGCTGTTTGGAATGAAGATTTACAAGAAGAAGTAATTCCATCTGATTGGATTAGTGATAAAACTGTTTGTCGGCTTCCAGGTACCAAAGCATTGACTGCACTAAAATGCAGAGAAGAATTGGCTCAAGTTTATACAAATAAAAACTAAATTCTCTTCAGGTATTACATCTATATATTACAATTATTATTTTTTAAATAATGTGGTAAGAAGAGTTATTTTGTTGATACAAAATATATAACTATTTGTATAACTATTTCAATTCTAAAAGAAAGCAAACAGTATTGTGAAAATTTTAAATTCACAACTACAAAAGAAAAATGTGATAATGAGAATGTTGACAAGTGGATACAAGATTTGCACACAAGTGGAAGCTTGGATGCAAATTTTCCACTTGTGTGGTTTGGATGGTTCTCCACAATATAATATATCTCCACAGGCATAATATTAGATTTACTTCATGTTTTTTTACAGATAAATCAATTACAGTTAATTGGTGGAGTTACCTCATTTATAATCAGGGTGTCTGCAGCTCCTCTAAAATTTTCTAAAGTCCTCTTTTTTTAAAATCACACTCTAAAGAGGTAAAAATTTGATCAAAACTCCTCATTAATTCTTCCTTTTTATAATTTTTGATGGATGTATAATGTTCAAAATACCCATTCTCGGTCTGCAAAACTGGTTAACGCCTTAAAGTGCATGGAATTGTAAAAAACTGCTTTAGAAAATGCATGCTATTTAACATAACAAATGACATCATTTGATCCCTGTCTAAGCCCCATAAGTGTATAAACATGGACGTTAAACCATTAATAAATGGCCACATAAAATTTCTTATAAAAATTTTATGTGGCCACCCCGAAAATTATTTTTCAATTTTAGAAATGTTTTATATTTTGATTATTAATTTATTTTTAATATATTAAAAAGGTTGTTTTATTTAAATTAAATATTTGAAAAAGTTATTAATAACCAACTAACAGTTATATTATTTTTTAAAAATTCAGAGTATTTTCGAAAAGTTATATGGCCTCCATGGATATGAAGGGCAAAGGTGGAAAAATATGTTTTAAGATTACTAATCTATATGGCGTTGAAAAAGATATACCTTCATAAGTTGTAACACTTTTCCATTCATTATTTATTTTTTAAATCTTCCCTCTTTGTTTTTTTTTAATATATTTTTTTATTTACAGCTTCTTATATTATACTCAATGGACCAAAAGAACCCTCGGTTAATGGAACATTGTTTGACTTTCTAAATTACGCTTTATTTTAAAAAGGTGGTGGAAAAGAAAAGAAATCTGTGTAGATTTTATTCAATTATATGTAAATATATGTAATATTTGAATATGTTTTTTTGAATAAAACAAGTTTTATCTCTTTTTTTAATCATACCTAGCTATTTTAACTAAACTAAACTGAAAAAGTTCTAAATAGTCTAAGTATAGACTATGAATAGATTTAATATCCATAATATACCTTGATAATGTACAGCAACACTAATGTACATGCATAGTACGTTTTGATGGTGATCTTATTTTGACGCACATAGCACGTTTACATACATATATACATTTTGACATACATAGCACGTTTTGATGGTGAAAAAGTGTTTTACAGTCGTTTTTTTTGTTGATAAATCATCATTTGTTGTATCAACGTAAACGTTGATACAACGTAAGTTCAACGTTGTTGTAACGTTTTTTTGCGTCAAATTAACGTTGATATAACGTTTGAATCTAACGTTAATTTAACATTGATAAATCAACGTTGAAAAAAACTTTCATTCTAAACGTTAAATCAATGTAAATTCAACGTTATTGTAACGTTTTTTTACGTCAAATCAACGTTGATATAACGTTTGAACCTAACGTTGATTTAACGTTGATAAACCAACGTTGAAAAAAACTTTCATTCTAAACGTTAAACCAACGTTAATTCAACGTTAGGTTTCAACGATATTTCAACGTTATTTGCCGGGTGGGCTTAAAGTGGACTATTCCACATTTTCCTAATATTTAAATCGTAATCGAAATAATGCGTCTAAATTGTTAAGATAAATAAACATCAAAATTAGACTGACGAAATGAAAAGGAGTCTGGGTGGTTTAATTTGTTTAAAGTAAGTTTCATTGAAAACATGTTTGAAAATTTGCTTAAAGTAGATTTATTTAAAACCTGTTTGAAATTTTATATTGCAATATAATATTTAATATTGTGTTGCAAGCAATTTGGTTTAAAAAAAAAAATTCCACTGAACATACAATAGTTGAACTTTCTAATCAAATATCTAATGCCTTTCACAATGACTGTTTTACATTAGGAATTTCCCAGCCGGCAAATAACGTTGAAATAACGTTGAAATATCGTTGAAACCTAACGTTGAATTAACGTCGGTTTAACGTTTAGAATGAAAGTTTTTTTCAACGTTGATTTATCAACGTTAAATTAACGTTAGATTCAAACGTTATATCAACGTTGAATCGACGCGAAAAAACGTTACAATAACGTTGAATTAACGTTGATTTAACGTTTAGAATGAAAGTTTTTTTCAACGTTGATTTATCAACGTTAAATCAACGTTAGGTTCAAACGTTATATCAACGTTGATTCGACGCGAAAAAACGTTACAACAACGTTGAATTTACGTTGATACAACGTTTAAAATGATAGTGTTTAACGTTGATTTATCAACGTTAAACGACTGTAAAACACTTTTTCACCATCAAAACGTGCTATGTATGTCAAAATGTATATATGTACGTAAACGTGCTATGTGCGTCAAAATATGATCACCATCAAAACGTACTATGCATGTACATTAGTGTTGCTGTACATTATCAAGGTATATTATGGATATTAAATCTATTCATAGTCTATACTTAGACTATTTAGAACTTTTTCAGTTTAGTTTAGTTAAAAAAGCTAGGTATGATTAAAGAAAGAGATAAAACTTGTTTTATTTAAAAATACATATTCAAATATTACATATATTTACATGTAATTGAATAAAATCTACACAAATTTCTTCTCTTTTCTACCATCTTTTTGAAATAAAGCGTAATTTAGAAAGTCAAACAATGTTCCATTAACCGAGGGTTCTTTTGGTCCATTGAATACAATAGAAGAAGCTGTAAATAAAAAAAATATATTAAAAAAATCAAAAAGGGAAGAATTAAAAAATTAATAATAAATGGAAAAGTGTTACATCTTATGAAGGCACATCTTTTTCAACGCCATATAGATTAGTGTTCTTAAAACATATTTTTCCACTTTCGCCCTTCATATCCATAGAGACCATATAACTTTTCGAAAATACTCTGAATTTTAAAAAAATAATATAACTGTTAGTTGGTTATTAATAACTTTTTCTAATATTTAATTTAAATAAAACAACCTTTTTAATATATTAAAAATAAATTGGTAGTCAAAATATAAAACATTTCTAGCATTTAAAAATAATTTTCGGGGTGGCAACATAAAATTTTTATAAAAAATTTTATGTGGCCATTTATTAATGGTTTAAAGTCCATGTTTATACACTTATGGGGCTGGGACAGGGATCAAATAATGTTATTTATTATGTTAAATGGCATGCATTTTCTAAAGCAATTTTTTACATTTCATGCACTTTAAGGCGTTTACCAGTTTTGCAGACCGAGAATGGGTATTTTGAACATTATACTTCCATCAAAAATTAAAAAAGGAAGAATTAATGAGGAGCTTTGATCAAATTTTTACCTCTTTAGAGGATAATAGAGGATTTTAGAAGTGGTTTTAAAAAAAAGAGGAATTTAGAGGATTTTAGAGGAGCTGCAGACACCCTGATTATAAATGAGGTAAGAGTCCAATACTGTTTTTGATTACCTCAGCATAATTTTGTGTATTCTATCTTTAGAAGACGTTTCATCAATTAACTAATTAACTTATCTGTAATTGATTTATCTGTAAAAAACATGAAGTAAATCTAATATTATGCTTGTGGAGATATATTATATTGTGGAGATCCATCCAAACCACACAAATGGAAAATTTGCATCCAAGTTTCATTTGTGTGCAAATCTTGCATCCACTTGTCAACATTCTCATTATCACATTTTTCTTTTGTAGTTGTGAATTTAAAATTTTCACAATACTGTTTGCTTTCTTTTAGAATTGAAATAGTTATACAAATAGTTATATATTTTGTATCAAAAAAATAACTCTTTTTACCACATTATTTAAAAAATAAAAATTGTAATTGATTGATGTAATACCTGAAGAGAATTTAGTTTTTATTTGTATAAACTTAAGCCAATTCTTCTCTGCATTTTAGTGCAGTCAATGCTTTGGTACCTGGAAGCTGACAAACAATTTTATCACTAATTCAATTAGATAGAATTACTTCTTCTTGTAAATCTTCATTCCAAATAGCTCCTTTCCGCATATTCGATTTTGAAAAAATTACATGAACTAATATAAAATGAAGAAACTGTAATATAAGTGTACTAACAGGCCTAATTAAACTAGCTAAATTTAAACATTTTATAACCATGATACTTGCTAAACAATAATATTGGTAGACATTATAAGCAAAGATAAGATTTTCTTCATTTTATAAATTTATAATATTTTAAAGTCATTTTTATTAATTTATTTATTACTCTATTATTCAGCAGAGTTCTAAATATATTATGTTCAAATAACTTAAGGCTCAATAACAAAGACAAATAATGAAAGAATACTAGGTTGCTAAAACATAAACATCTACGTAAGATAATTATGGAATATTGAAAAAAAATAGAAATACAAAAAAACAAAAATACTCATTATTAATATAAAATATAATAGTATAATTTAAGGTATATCATAATATATGACACAATAATATCGACTTTTAATTAAAATATAAAAACAACAAAAATTAAAAAAGAAAATATTTTGATAATTAATAAATTATCATTCAAACAATTTTCAAGTTCAAAAAATAACTTGTAATTTATTTTTTTACTTATCTTTATCTAATAAACATTACTTATTTTTCACTCATCTTCATCTAATAAACATTAATATTAATACCAAATTTAAACATTATTAGAATTTTTTTTTTATCAAAAAATAAAAATATTACATCAGTTACTTTTTGGGCTTTTCTTATTTTACTTAAAACATCAACTCAATTCTAGACTTTTTTTATAATTGAGTTTTAATTTGTAATGTTGAATTAACACTGAAAAAAAAAAAATCAGCATACAAAAAGAAAATATTTCTTTATTGAAATATATGTAAATATTTCAATATAGAAATTTTAGATTGATTTTAATAAATATAAATTTATATCAATCAATCTAAATTTTTTTCTTTTCCACAACCTTTTCGAAATGAAGCACATTTTTAGAAGTTAGACAAAATGCCATCAATTAAAGTTTCAGTCGTTCCATTGTATTTAATAGAAGAAGCTGTTAATAAAAAAGAATTATAAAAAAAAAAAAAAAAAAAAAAAAACACAAGGAGAAATTTTAGAATATATAAAAAATGAGAATAAAAACGTTTTTCCTATCTTATAAAGATATACTTTTCACTACACCATTTAAATTAGTGCTCTTAAAGCATATTTCCACCTTTCCCCTTCATATTAATGGAGATCACAAAATTGTTGGAAAATATTCTAAATTTTAAAAGATAAGAGAACTGATATTAATTATGCGAGAACTAATATTAATTTTTTTTTTTAATTTAAATTGAACTCATTATCAAACAATTTTTTTGCTAAACAATTTAATCCTTAAAATTCCTGAATAATTAAAAATTATTTTAATTACCTCAGCATTTTAAAGATATTCCATCAATTGCAATTGATTCACCTAAAAAACAACAAGTAAAGCAAATATTATTGTTTGAAATTTTAATTATCTTTATACAAATACTCATCATATTTTTAAAGTGACTGATAAAAATGGATTCAATTAAAATCACTTCATTTGTATTAAAAAATTAATATTAAAGCCTTATCGTACATTATACAAGAGTATTTTGTAATACAATCTAAATAATTGTTGCGATATGTAATTTTTTTATCCGAAATTTAGCTTCTGTAAGCTTTAGAAATTTTTTAAAGGAATTATTGATGAATTTGGAGCTACAGGTATTAATGTTTTTATATTGCTGTAATGTTTGTATTCATTCCCTGTTAGTTTCTGTAAGTCAAAATTTTAAGGTGATTCCATAGTAAATTCTGTTATATCTAAAATTTAGTGTTAGTCTGAATAATTTACTTTCTAAAATCTGTTTTGCATTGCCTGTCTTATAACATCTTTACTTGGAACAAAAATCATGTGGTTTAAAAGTGAGCTAGAAGCTTTCAACAATGAAGAAAATATTGCATTCGCTAATCCTAAAAATATATTAAACCTGTCAGCAAATTCAGCTGTCAATAATCCAAGTATTAGTATCATTAAAAATTCATCTTTGCTGCATTACATTTATTTTGGTCCAAGTAGTTAAGGATTTTTTTAAATTTCAAAAAACAGAAGTAAATGTGTTTTTTTTAAATATCACTTTATCTCTTTTGATTAATGGTGATACTGCACTAACTGATGAAACACATTGACAGATGTAAGGCCAGTATAAAAGTTGCAAGATCTATTATTTTTAAAGTAAATGTTTGTATACAAGTAAATTGCAATAACACGATTTGTTTGGATTATGTTTATATACAAATTTGTCTGTTTTCATAGTAATAACTGATGTGGTTGAAGTTAATTTTTCATATAAATTTTTATTTTTTTATTTCGTGCTGAAGTTCTTTTTTAAAGTTATCAATTTCCTTTTTTAATTCTTGATGCTCTATTAAAAAACAACGCTTAGCATTAAATTCAACATAATTTAATGGATCATTTTTTAAAAAAGTTGTATTATATTTACATTTAATAATATCAGTCTTTGAGCATTGTAGCCCAAAAAATATCGATTTTTAAACGATAATGTTCTTTCAGGAAAATCGTCTGAACATGTTTTCGATCTCTTGAAAATTCTATATGGTATAAGTTCAGTAATTACATTTTTTTTCCATTAAAAATCTCTATAAGTTTAACCGTTGAAATAATGTTTACGTTCTCAATTCCATTTCTGCGCGCGAATAAATTTTATATCGTATTTTTTGTCAACAATAATTGAAAAATGACGTTGAAATAACGTTAAATAATGAACGTTTAAACTGTAACGTTGATTTAACGTTGAAATAACGTTAAATAATCAACGTTTAAACGGTAACGTCGATTTAACGTTGTGAAATAGTTGAACAACGTTGAAACAACGCTTTAACCGAATTTCAACGTTGAAACAACGTAATAATGCCGGCTGGGTTTCATTGATCTGTCAAAAGCTTTTGATACAATATACTAATAAAAAAACTTGAAAACTATGGAGTGAAAAATAAAAACTTACTTTGGTTCAAAGGGTATTTGACAAACCGAAAGCAATTTTTATATTATGATAAAAATAACTCGATTCCATATTCCATAACTTGCGGGGTTCCTCAGGGTTCAATTTTAAGACCACTCTTATTTCTATTGTCCATAAATGACTTACACTTAGCAAGAAATCTTTTAGACCTAATTTTGTTTGCTGATGACTCCAATCTTTTTTATTCTCAAAGATATATTAAAACACTTTTTAAATAGTTAACAAACAATTATGTAAAGTTAATGAATAGTTCGTAAGTAACAAACTTTCATTAAATGTGGATAAAAAAAAATATACTTTTCCATAAAGTAAATAAATCAAAAAACATTCCTCTAAAATTACCAAATCTTATAATAAATTATGCTTATATTAAAAGAGAAACAAACGTAAAATTTTTAGGACAAAAACTAAATGAAAATTTACTGTGGTAATCACATATAAATAGTATTGAAACAACACTTTTAAAACAATATAGCAATGATGTTTAGGGCTAAACTTTTCTAAATGTAGCATACCTGAAAAAAATGTATTTTGCCTTTATTCACAGTTCATTATCATTATTCTTACTGTAATATTGCGTGGGCTAGTATTGGCTATACAAAACTTAAGAATATCTAGAACAAACAAAAACATGCGTGCAGGATAGTGTTTGGACCCTACAGAAATACTCCTTGGGAACGACTTTTACGTACGCTCGGTGCTTTAAATGTGTATAAACTCAATTTACACCAAGTTTTATTGTTTATGTTTAAAACAATAAAGGGATTGTCCCCAAAATTTTTTCAAACCTATTTTGATAAAAATAATCATAAATATTCAACAAAGTTTTCTGATAACAACTTTGTTCTTCTTAAGTATAATTTAAAACTAACCTCCGATTCAATTAAATACCGCGGACATTTTATGTCAAAAAAATTCTTAGAGATTGTAAACAAAAACAAGACTACATTAGAGTAATTTAAAAATGAGTTAAAACCATTATTACTATTCAGAGATCTTAATTTATCTGACTTCAAATGTTTCTTTTAAACTAAGTTTAATCTAATAAAAACAAATTTATTGGTTGTGAAATGAAATTTAATTAATGATGTTTATGAAATTTAAGTAATGATGTTAAAAATTCATCTTGTAATAATGTTAATTTAGAAGTTTTATTTTTTTTATTTTTTTATTCAAAACCTTTTGTTTAAAATGATTTTTAAACATTTTACCGATTGTTAGCATTCCAACACTTCTTAATTATTTGCTATTTTGAATTTCTAATTTTTCTCAGTTATTTTCTGTTTTAATTTTGGTTTATGTTTTATATATTTATATTAAATATATTGTATGTTACGGGTATGTGAATTTTTTTTATATATGGGGCTCGGCAATAAGGCAAACTGTCCCTTGTTTTTGCTCCAGCTATTAACTTTGATATATGTATATGCAATGTAATCATTCTTTAACGGCGAAATAAATTACAAAAAAAAAAAGTTTATCAATTGCACAAAATTCTTTAAATGGATATTTCGTTGTACGTATATATACATTATTTTTTATATACATTTTCGGTGGTCGTGGTAGTCAGATTAGTCTAATTATTTGATTGCCAACCACAGGTAGTCGTTGGCAATCAAATAATTGGATTTTTAAAGAGCTTGATTTTTGTGAATTATGTGCACTCCAAACAAATTTTATGTTATCTTTCTACTATTTATACGAATATAGAAAATATAATAATTTTTTTGGTAATTATATAAAATTTAGTCATCTTTTTAGTTATTAAAATAAATTGATGTAATAAACACGTGAAGCATTTTGTAACTTTGTTTTTTAACTTTATCTTATACTTGTTTTTTAACTTTATCTTATATTTGTTTTTTAACTTTATCTTATATATTTTTTTTAACTTTATCTTATATATTTTTTTTAACTTTATCTTATATTTGTTTTTTAACTTTAACTTATATTTCTTTTTTAACTTTATCTTATATTTCTTTTTTAACTTTATCTTATATTTCTTTTTTAACTTTATCTTATATATCTTTTTTAACTTCATCTTATATT